TGTGTATTGTGGGTATTTTGTCCTGATGGCTCTTGAGATTCAGTTTGTGATCTCAGGGAAAAAAGAGACATGATGTAACAAGACTTTTAATATGGTCTTAAAATATATTCAAATAGATGTATAATCTGGTAATTAAATCTGTATATTTGTCAGTAAATCTATATTTGTATGTTATATTATTACAGATCTGAAGTCTCTGATTGAGCTATGTTACTAATCTGGGTACAATTACACAGACTGGTTTTAAGGTTGCTTACATAATATTTGCTGATAAGGAAACTGACCTAAATACTGCACAGTGATAAATAACACTTTCAGAATTAAAAGCACTGCCTTATGAACACTATAAAGTGAAGATAAATACTTACTATACTATGAGAAACTCTACTCACCTGTTCTTCTCCTCCTTATCTGGAGGAGCAAAGCAGGAAATAAAATGTGAGATGTCAGATTTCAACAGTACAGGACCAGACCACAGCTGTGTGTTCTGAAGCACAACACAGCCTCACTCTCACCACACAGCTGGGCACAGCTGGCACAGCTGGCAGTGAACACTGGGCTCTACTGCCCCACAGACATTCCAAGGTCAAATACACTGAGCTCATGATGATGATAATATCCATAAAAGTTGATGTATTAACTGTGCTCTTTCCTTTGGAAAAGAGTGGACAAGCTCAATGTTACAAAAAATAGACTTTCAGACTTTTCCTGCATAGTTAGACTTGTGTTGCTCACTTTTCTACACAATGTGACACTTTGTGTGATTTCAGAACAAACCGGTGGTGACAGTGGACTACAGTCCACAGTGATCAGAGGACAGTAGCTGCTGAAGAATGTCTGAGGTACTTACAGTCCGCACACATCAGCAAGACAAGCCAGCAGACAACGAGGAGGATCTGACAGGGCAAGACCACCAAGCGCAGGTCTGTCAGAGTGCGGCGGCCTTTTTCTGAAACAGCATTGGAGCTTAAAATGAGCCCATTATATCACACCATCCTCTTACCAGTGAGAATTAGAGACGGACTTCAACATCATTAGACTTCTGTTGAATACATACCAGCTCTTAACAGATCATGGGTAATCTGTGTGTAAAAGCTGATTAGTTCCTTATTACTGTTCATCAGACTCATTAGAACACACATTTACAAACACATACCCTCTAGTTAAAGGTTAAAGGTTGCTTTACAGCACTTCTCAACCTGAGCTGAAATGTCTGAATGAGGATTCCTGTTGCCTGTAGACTCAAGGGATTCTTTGGCGTTTGTGTCTGAGATGATTCTCCTGCATATCTGAGTGTCTGCAGAAGTGTCAGAAGGAGACAGTATGAGAGAGTAGCAGAGGAAACTCATGGTTTCAGGGGCCCAGACTGAGGGCTGATTGGAGGTGTTTGGGGGTGACTGATCACCAAACTGCTCTACACACATTCAGAGCTCCAGGCTGGTAGAATCTGCTACATGTCTGTTCCACACTGATGTCTCCTTCACTGCAGGAGCAGTGTTCAAGCACAGGAGCCCAGAGGAGCCTGTTCTGTGGATCCTTAGCTGGACGGGTCACTTACCTGCCTTGAGGATGAGCTCTGCAGTGAGAGCAATGGCACTGACCGCAGGCAGGACTGAGGACCCCAGCACGTACACCCCCACCTGAGCTCGGGCTGCAACACAGACAGCAGAGCTGGGAAAACTGAT